GCTTAATAGGCTGATAGGCGAGTAGCCTGTTGGAAGGATGAAAAATAACGAAAATAAACCAAATTTATCAGCGGGCCCTCATTGCGCGCTGAAAATAAGTAGTCAATGTTTTCGGAAAGGTGGATAAACTCATTGTTGAATTTATTTGATATTATAATTTTATGTAAAGGCTAACAACTCCAAGTGACAGTCGAGAGGCAAGATATAAATGAATATGCACAAAGACGAAGTAACTGGCAAAAAAAAGAAAAATTTGCTGGGAACCTAAAGACCCTTCATCTTAGCCATCAGCATCCCAAGGCTAGCATCCCCAATCTCTGTCGCCGCCTCCACCTCCGCTAGTTTCTTCTTAGCTTGTTCCGATGCCGGCATAGGCATGCTTTCACCTTCCTCCTCTAGTTCGATACCAAGTGCCATTGCAGCCGCCACATGGCTTGCTCGCTGTTCGACTTCCTCAGCGCGGCGCGTCTCGGCAGAGCTCCGTTCTTCTTCTAGAGCTTCGGCGTTCCAGCCAGCCGATCCTGGCATTCCAGCTGCAATAAGGGCGGCTCGGCGTTCGGCCTGACGCTGTCGACACTGGGGGTCATTGCAATCTGGATTGGGTCGCATTGGAGCTGAGTAAAAAGTATCACGAGTAGCTCCATATCCTAGGTGGCTGGTAACCTGGTGGAATAAGCCAAGGGGCGAAAAAAACGAAATTTGTATAAATTGATGGAGCATTGGAATGCCCAAGAGCTGATGCACATAACAATAAGATAGGAAGTAGATGAGTGGATCGAGCGAGGGGATATAATAAAACAGAAAAGATACTCAGAATACCGAGTTGAGACGGATGGAACAAGAGACAAAAACGTAGATGTGGATGGTAGAAAATGAATGGGTAATCAGAGAAAAAGTGGGTCTTAATAATGAAATGAAGAGTTAAATATACGCAAACGTATTTAAAGGAAAGGTTGGAGGAAGCTTAAAAGGGCGAGCAGAGAATACTTACTTGTCCAAAATCGAGTAACCATTTTAGCGCATTCTGCACGAGCAAACCAGCAA